ACTTTTCTTTTGCTATATTACTTATTTCCCTTTGGATGTCTTCCCTCTCAATTTCCATATCCAATCTCCATGTTTGGAAAATTTCCTCTATTATTTCTTCTTTTACTGTTATAATTTGGTCGTACAGATCTCCTGCCACTTTCTTCTCCCCTCTCAAACATTTCCTAATCACCTTCTCAAATGGACTATCCTGTTCTCTAATTTTCCCCCTCCGTCTAAAAATTTCCTGTCTTATAGCCCAGCTTTGAATCCAATTCCCTGACCCTATCCAATTCTGAATTTCTTTTTGTTCTACGGGGTTTCCATCCTCTGTATATAGATCCTCTACTAACCTTTTCCCTCTGCTTTCAATCAGTCTCAATGTTCTGCCTATCATTTCATCATTATTATAATTCATTTGCCATATAGTTGCCATCTTATTCTCATTACCTGGATTTAACTTCTTCTTTCTTTTTTTCCACACTTTTACTGTTCCTTTAAAGGGTTCCTTAAGTTCTGTTTCCTCTCTCCTCTTCCATTCCCTAAATATTATTTCTTTTCCTTTAATATTATTTATTATCTTCTCCATATTTACCCATTTTTTTTCCGTATACTGTATTTCCAGCAATCTTTGGATTTGAAATGCATCATGATAAACTTCCAGACTTGGGATCCCCCAGCCTCCCTCTTCTTCTTTTGCATTTAACCATTTATCCCTTATTCTGGGTCTTTTCCCGCCAACTGCCCATATTCTTATTCTTCTGTCCCATGTCTTTAATGTTTTCCTCTCTACTGTGTTTGGTAAGGTTTGGAGTAAATATAATAATTTCGGTATTATGAACATTTTCAATGCCCTTATTCTGTCCACTCTTGTTAATGTTTTCCCTTCCCAGTTCTTAAGTTGCTTCTCTATTACTTTCCACTTTTGTTTGTAATTCCCCTTAACTATACTCTTTGGATTTTTGTATACCCATATTCCTAAATATTTTAGCTTCTTTGATCCTAATTTTAATCCTGATATTTTCCTAATCTCCAATTGTTCTTTTGGTGGGGTGTTAATACATAGTATCTCTGACTTTTTGATGTTAACAAATAATCCAGATATATTCTTAAACTCTTCTAATTTTTTTATCATATCTTTTATCATGATTAATGGTTGATTTGTAATAATCATTGCATCATCAGCAAAGAGATTCAGCTTTATTTCTTCCTTTTCCCCTCCCTCCTTTTCTATTTTATATCCTGTCCACTTGGTGCTATTCCTAATACTTTCAGCTAGTATTTCTATCGCTATTACAAATAAAGTGGGGGATAATGGACATCCTTGTTTTGTACCATTTAAAATGGGTATCTCTCCTGTCCTTCTGTCGTTAACCCTTACTCTTGCCTTGCAGTTACTATATAGTTGCTGCAATGTTTTACAAAAGTTTTCCCCCATATTCAACTGTTGACATACATTTAATAGAAATTTATGATTGACCTTATCAAAGGCTTTGTAAACATCCAATTTAAGAATTCCAATTTTTTCCTTATTCAAATTTGCATGATTCATTGCGATTACCACATTTTTTATTGGATCCCCAATTTTTCTTCCCTTCACAAATCCATATTGATCTTCTTTAATTATTTTTGGCATTATTGTTTCCAATCTTTTCGCTAAAATTTTTGTAAATATTTTGTAATCCTGATTACATAGACTAATAGGCCTGTATGACCCTGGTTCTGTTAAATCTCTTCCCTTTTTTGGTATAGTAATAATTTCTGATACCTTCCAGGTTTGTGGGACTTTTTGCTTAGTGTATATTTCATTAAACAACTCTGTTAAATGTGGTACCAATTCTTCAATATATGCTTTATAATATTCCGCTGGGAATCCATCTGGCCCTGGTGACTTAGCTCCCTTTAACCCTTTAATTACCCCTAATATTTCCTCTTGTGTTATTGGTTGATTTAATAACTCTCTGTCTTCCTCTGCAATTTTTTCTCTAATGTTTAAGTTCCCTTGTACTACCCTCTCCTCCTTATATAAATCTTTATAATATTTTGCCATTACCTCCCTAATTTTACTTTGCTCCTCTTGTTCTTTCCCTTTTTCATCTTTCAATTTCTTTACCCAGGTTTTTTCCTTTTTCTTTTTCAAATAGTAAGCCATCCTCTTCATTGATTTTATATTCCAACTTTGGGAATAACTTTTAACATATAAATACTTATTCATTATATTCATTTCCTCAAAAGCTTCTAATTGTTTTCTCTTCTCTTTTAATTCTATCCAGATCTTTCTATCCCTAGTTCTTTTATGTCTGTCCTGCAAGACTTCTATTTCTTTTAGTATCTTATCTTGTTCATTCCTCCATCTCCTTCTGAGATTTGCCTCTAAACTTATACAGTGACCCCTTATCACAGCCTTGCTTGCATCCCAAATTATATCTTTAGTTACTTGTCCATTATCATTGGTCTCAAAATACTTGATTATTTCTTTCCTTATCATTTCATATTCTTGCTCTCTACTGTTTAAAATTGTATTATATCTCCAGGTTCTTTCTTTTCTCTCTACTTCTAATTTTACTTTTACTCTTAATGGTGCATGATCTGACAAATATATTGGAAGTGTTTTTGCCTCTAGAATCAATGATTGGTTTGTATTTTTCCCCAAAATATAATCTATTTTACTATATGTATCATGTCTTCCTGAATAATAAGTCCATCTATTGTTCTCTGATTCCCCTTCTAATAGGTCCTGCATGTTGTATTCTCTTATATTTAATTTCCTATTATTATTTTGCCTTGTTGACACTAATTCCAAATTGTAATCTCCTGCGACTTACTTACCTGGCAGGGGAGACACCATGATCACTCTGCTTTTATTGAAGTGTGAAATGGTTGCATCTTTGGTACATCAGGAGTGAGCAACTATGGAAGAGTAGCATGGCCACACTATCCACCCAGCAGGACTAAGCACTTTCTTCACCTGCTCCTTCCTGCCTATCATTTTTAGGGAGTGAGCAGAGTATGACTAAAAAAGCCCCTCTTGGACCTAAAATGACCCCCAAAACTCGGTGAAAATGCCCTCCCTAACTTCTAGGGCAATGGTTCTCAACGGATGGGTCTCCAGGTATTTCAGCCTTCAACTCCCAGAAATCCCAGCCAGTTTACCAGCTGTTGGGATTTCTGGGAATCGAAGGCCAAAACATCTGGGGACCCACAGGTTGAGAACCACTGCTCTAGGATCATTTGTGGGCAATATCCCCTGGAAATTATTTAACTCCCGATGGGCTGGGGTCACCAAAGTTGCTTTGGCTGCACTTTGTCTAACCCATGCTAAATTCTCATCATTATACTGTCTAATTAATAAACTTAACATGATTCTTCATATTGTCTTAATTAACATAGCCTGATTCTATGCCCATTTATTCAGAGGAAAGTTCCATGAAGTTCAGTGGAGTTTATTTTTGAATGTGCATAAGACGAAATCTATTGTTCTTAACTCTAAATTGTTCTTAGCTACATAGTGGTTCCTCCTTCCCAAAAAAGGTTGCTTTGGGGCATTGCACTTAAGGTCACTTTTTTCAATGATTGATCTGTGATGGACAGAAGTACACTTGACATAATGACACATAGTGAAAGAAACTGCTGCTGTGTTTTTATAGCATTTATTTACATAATACACATCTTGAGCTTTTGCCACAATCTGTTTCAAGTGGCTTACAATAGTAAGAACAGCAACAGCAAAAAACATTTGTGAAAAAATTACCATTCAATCACATCAAGCAATAAATATTGCTACCATTCTTAGTGAGACCAGTTTACCCTCGAATGTGTACGTGTCACACAAAAGGCCTATCATATTATTTTATGTGATCCATGAGGCTTTCAATGCCAGGGCCAACATAGTTACATTTATACAATCTCACAATTACAAATGGCCATTTGAAGGCAGCCATAAGGTTGATGTGGCCCTTAGTGAAAGAGAGTTTGATACGTCTGTTCTAATAGTATTTCACCAAAATTGGTTAGATCCCATTTTTATTCTAATAATTAAAATAGCCCGAGAAGAGGTCTTCTCAGAACAATCCTATTCCCCTGTGGCCCTTTCACCATCCAGACCCCTAGAAGCCCCCAAATCAAATATTCAGTGGGCATAATAAATTGTCTTGGAGATGGTTCAGCAATTAAGACCTTATCACCACCTTTTAGCTAATGGAATTTCATCACTGGCTCAGATGACTCAAATTGATGAAAAGAGTCATTTGCACTCACAGTCACATACAAAGCTTTTTGTAATTTTTATGCAGGTCCTATTTGAGTAACACAAGGTCACTGATATTGCTGGTTTTGTGTCTATTACAATTGGTGAGAGGGGCCATTTAAAGTAGGGTGATGCATCACCTCTAAAAATTATAAGACTACTACAAAATGTTTTAAACCTCATTGCCCAATTTAAGACATAACGGATGTCTTGATTTGTGACAATCATATTCTTTAATTCTGAAAAAGTGTAATAACTTGCAAGAGAAATGCTGGTTTTAAAAACAAAATGTTGATTGTATAGAACAAATTAGAACTTAAAAGTCCCTTGCATCTCAATCAAGAGATAGCAGTAGAATATAAATAAATATAATAATAATAATAATAAGGTTAATTAACTAAACAATTTTTTCCCCAGAAGAATCGTTAAGGTTATAATTAAAAGAACCTTTACTAGGTTATTGCTAATATACTAGTGAAATCTTGTTCATTGCATGATTATACAATGTTAAATTCTTCCTGTTTAGTTTTTTAGGTTGAGGTGCATTTTTTAATCATTCTGTTCGAAAACGTTTCTTGAAAATTGGCACATAATTTAATTGGAGGATGTTAGCAAAAAAAACAAAACCCTTACATACTCGTTCTAAGAAACATTTAAAAATTCATCTTTTGGTTCTTCCTTTTAAAAACACTATTTGTGTTTTAATTTAATACACTTTAATTTATAATCAAAATTTATTTGTTTATTTATTTGTTTATTTGTTTGAGCCCCAGGGGGGACTCAAAGTGGTTTCCAACATATTCATGTTAAAAATTCAATGCCTAACAAACATCTAAAAACCTAGCATAAGAACAGCAATAACATATAACTATTAATTAAAGTATTAAACCATATTAAATAAAAAACAAACAACATCTAGACATTTAAAGCACGGAATTAAAAACATATTAATATAAACATTAAAATCCAGAAAGTGAAGTCAGAGGCCTTTCCAAATGCCAATTGCACATGATCCTGTTAGTTTCTTGCACTGCTTACTGCCCAAAGGCTTGGTCTCACATCCATGACTTTTTTTTTTGAAGACCAAAAGGGAGGGCGCTGATCTAATTTTGTTAGGGACGGAGTTCCACAGACGAGGGCCACAACTGAGGAGGTCATGTCTCTCATCCCTACCACGGCTGCGAGGAAGGTGGGACTGAGAGCAGGGCCTCCCCAGACTATCTTAACCTTCTAGGTAATTCATAGAGGGAGATATGTTCACACAGGTAAGCTGAGTCGGAACCTTTTCGGGCTTTATAGGCTAAAGCCAGTACTTTAAATTGTGCTCAGTAGCAGACTGGCAGTCAGTGGAGTTGGTTTAACAGGGGAGTTGTGTGCTCCCTGTGCCCTGCTCCGGTAAGCAATCTGGCTGCCATCTGTTGGACCAATTGGAGCTTCCGAACAGTCTTCAAAGGCAACCCCACGAGGAGCACATTGCAGTAATCTGTACAGCATGTAACCAGAGTGTGGACTACCATGCGTGTAACCAGAGCGTGTTCAGAGAAAAAAACAGAAAGAAGAAAAGAAGTAAATATATATAGGGGGAACAGGAAGTAAAACACAATGATATAATGTAAAACTACATAAAACGCTAAACTTTAATTATCACACTAAAGTATCCTGTGTCTCCCAATCCAAACTGTAATGATACAGATCCAACTTAACAAGCCTAAATTTGCTACTAATCATATTCACATTATTACATCATTTAATTTTTTTATTGTTTGAAAAGTCTAGAAAGAATTTCCAATATTTCAAAAAATCTTGAGTCGGCTTCTACTTTAAAACCCACGTTAGATTGGCAATTTGGGCTCAGCAACCTTCACAATCCATCTTCGGCTGTCAGAAGTTTAGTCTGCCTCCAAGTTTGAGCAGTGTACTGCTGCTGTGATCATATATCAAAAAGGACTCCATATTTATTTATTCTCAAATTCTTTCTCCATATAGTGCTCAGCAAAAGCATTTCTGGTGACATTACAAAAACTACTTCTATTTTGTTTTTGGTTTTGGATTAACATGTAAATCTTAGACCAATACCTTGTTGCATTTTTACAAATCCACCACATATGGAAGGAGGAATGCCTAATACTTTGAATCCCTAATACTAATTTGAAACATTCCTAGACATTTTTGGTAACTGATTTGGGATTAGCTACAATATTTTATAATACTTTCTTTCAGATTAATAAACCAAGTGAATTTTGAAATATTTGGTTACTTTTCTCCCATACACCCATCTGAACATTAAAGCCCAAAATTTTGGGCCCACTTTATCATCTTCTGTCTCTAGTTTCAAACACATTTTTATACTGCTTGAATTACAAAGGTCATCATAAAACAACCATCATTCAGAGTGCAGGTTAAGTCTCTGCTTGAATTTTTATCATGCTCAGAGGAGAGCATTTCTAATACAATTATTTCTAAATTCAGCATGTGGCTTAACTTTATTATATTAAAGACAACCATACTGCCAAATATTAAATCATCTTTTAAATTCCAAAAGTCTATCATCTCTAGGAATAGAAGAGAGAAGGAGAAAGGAAGGGAAAGAGGGAGGCAGGAGATAGAAGAAGGGAAAGAGAGAAGGCAAAGGGGAGAAGGAAGGAGGGGAAAAAATAAAAGGGGATATAAAAAAGAGAAGAGGAGAAAGGAAGAGAAAAAAGAGAAAGAAGGAATGGAGAAAGAATGAGGGGAAGGAAGAGAGAAAGAGAAACAAAAAGACAGAACAAGAGAGGAGAGAGGCAAAAGGGCAAAAAAGAAAAAGGGGAGAGAAGGAAAGGGGGAGAAAGAGAGGGGGCCCGCCACCTCACCTTCTTCCGCCATACACCTCTCTGCCTCCAAGCCCCTCCCCGTGACTCCTCTCCACCCCACCCTGCCAAAGAGGAGGAGCCCCTTTTCAGACCCGAAGGAGGCGAAGCAGCGACCCCCTGTGAATGGTTGATTGAGAACCATTGCTCTAAATGAGAACAGTTTTTCAGCAGATTTTGAAATGTGCCACGACACAGTTACAAATATAATAATAATAATAATAATAATAATAATAATAATAATACTTTATTTGTATTCCGCACTATCTCCCCAAGGGCATGTGATTCATCTTGTGAAGTAGTCCAAGACATTCATTAGCCTAAAAGCCTGCAATATTTTCTTAATGTCTGTTATTTTGACTATGTGAATGAGAGACTGGATTACAAATACAACTAGTTAAAGAGACATAAAGTCTGATTCTATGGGTCAGGAAATACAGACCTTTTCAAAGCCCATCTCTAGCCATATTTTCTATTATGTCTCATCCTTCTCTGAAGTGATAGTATATGACAATACATTGAGAGAATGGGATGAGGTCAGGAATGGGATTTACAGACAGACAGACAGACAGACAGACAGACAGACAGACAGACAGATAGATAGATAGATACCAACCTTTCATTTATGCCATAACAACCCCAAACCAGCTTGCTTTTTCTTTCCTTTAAATCATGAATTGAAGCATTATCTACAAAATACAAAGTGGCGAGAAATGCTTTGTAATATATTTATTTTGGTCTTATTTTAGGAAGAACCACTTCTGAAGAACAATTTGGTTGAACTAAGGTATGTATCAGCTCTATTAATTTATTTAGTGAATTTTGGATATGTTCACAAGATCAATACTTTCTTTACTTTTTATAAATTAGTTTCAAAAGCATCACAGTTGAATTCTAGTCTATCAAAAGATTGTCTTAAAAATACAAAAACAAACAAGTCAATTAAAAATCTTGTGTTTTTATTCATGGCAAATATCAAAATATGTTTTGTATGATACAATCCAATATACATTCATGTAAAAGACAGCACTTAAAAATGTTAAACATGATGAAGACGGATTTTTTATTTAATTGGGTTTTTTTTTAATTTAATGGCACATTCCATTGACATATTCCAATGCTAGCATTTTTCTTATTCTCAACTACTTCATTGAGATGTTGTGATGTTGAAATGGAAGGGACTAATTGTATTGTCTTTGAGCTCCTGGAAGGATATAAATGCAATATAATTTGCTTATGTGTAAGTAATGTTATTGCTTATGTGGTAGGATGCTGAACAGCACAATACTGAATGCTCAGGTAAGGTAAAGTACAAAACCAGTGTTTTTAAGGTCTTGGCTCGGATATATACAAGTAAATAGGTTACAGTATTTTTGCTGAAGGTAATTCAAGAAATAGAATAAACAGTTGGGTTGTTCTTGTTTTCAAATAGATCTGACTCCCCGCCTGTCCCAGCAGTTAAAAACAGAATACAGCAACAAACAAAGACTTCTGATTTCTCAACTCATGATAGGAATGATGGAAGAGAAAAAAGTATCAATACAGACAAGCATCAGAGTGAAAGACCCTCAAATTTTGCACCTGAAAGGCCACCTTCATCTCACTTTGTCCCCTATGTACGAACAAATGAAGTATATTACCTTGATCCAGACGCACCCATGACGAGACCTTCAACACATGATCCGCAGTATCACCAGCTGAACGGTACTACAGTATAGAGTTAAATAAATGATTACAGTGCATGCTTTATCTTTACAGTGAAATGTTTTTCACAAGGTTTTTTGTTCTAATGGCATGCTTCTATTAACAATGAAATTGAGTTGAACATTAATTGATGACTTAAAACGTGTGTCCAATAATCAATATATTATACATAACAATTGATTTGGAATATTTATGTCAGGTACTGAAACTAAAATTTAGTGATGTTAAATATTACTCTTCAAGATATTGCTGTCTTGCAGCACCCCATGCACCCTATATATCTATTCTCTCAAACTGGAATGCTTGGGGCATGTTTTGGTGTCTCAAAGGGGCTTCACCGGGAGCAGAGGTGAGAACAAGTCTCATTCCTGCTTGCACTGGATACAGTAGTATACCACTGGATCTTGCCCTGCCTTTAATACTGGTTCAGATTTTAAATATTTCCCAAAATAATATTAAACATTTTATTATTTTGGAGATAGATGGATGGATAGATAGAACACACACACACGTGTGTGTGTGCATGTGTCACTTATTTTTAGATCCATTTTATGTTAAGATTTAAAAAGAACCGCAAATACAGTGCAGATGTATCTATATAAACAAACAAGTTACCTTGAGTATTGTTGTTGTTCATTCGTTCAGTCGTCTCCGACTCTTCGTGACCTCATGGACCAGCCCACGCCAGAGCTCCCTGTCGGCCGTTACCACCCCCAGCTCCCTCAAGGTCAGTCCAGTCACCTCAAGGATGCCATCCATCCATCTTGCCCTTGGTCGGCCCCTCTTCCTTTTGCCTTCCACTTTCCCCAGCATAATTGTCTTCTCTAGGCTTTGCTGTCTCCTCATGATGTGGCCAAAGTACTTCAACTTTGTCTCTAGTATCCTTCCTCCAGTGAGCAGTCGGGCTTTATTTCCTGGAGGTATGGACTGGTTGGATCTTCTCGGTCAAGGCACTCTCAGAATTTTTCTCCAACACCACAGTTCAAAAGCATCTATCTTCCTTCCTCAGCCTTCCTTATGGTCCAGCTCTCACATCCGTAGGTTACTACCAGGAATACCATGCTTTGACTAGGCGGATCTTTGTTGCCAGTCTGATGTCTCTACTCTTCACTATTTTATCGAGATTGGACATTGCTCTCCTCCCAAGAAGTAAGCGTCTTCTGATTTCCTGGCTACAGTCTGCATCTGCAGTAATCTTTGCACCTAGAAATACAAAGCCTGTCACTGCCTCCCCGTTTTTCCCTCTATTTCCCAGTTGTCAGTCATTCTTGTTGCCATAATCTTGTTTTTTTGTTGTTGTTTAGCTGCAACCCAGCTTTTGCACTTTCATCTTTCACCTTGATTAGAAGGTTCTTCAGCCCCCCTCACTTTCAGCCATCAAAGTGGTATCATCTGCATATCTAAGGTTGTTAATGTTTCTTCCAGCAATTTTCACCCCAGCTTTGCATTCATCCAGCCCCGCACATCGCATGATGTGTTCTGCATACAAGTTAAAAAGGTTGGGTGAGAGGATGCAGCCTTGCCGTACGCCTTTCCCAATCTTGAACCAGTCTGTTGTTCCGTGGTCAGTTCTGACTGTTGCTACTTGGTCCTTGTCCAGATTCCTCAGGAGAGAGACAAGGTGGCTTGGGATGCCCATCCCACTAAGAACTTGCCACAATTTATTATGATCCACACAGTCAAAGGCTTTAGAATAGTCAATGAAGCAGAAGTACATGTTTTTCTGAAACTCCCTGCCTTTCTCCATTATCCAGCGGATATTGGCAATTTGGTCTCTCGTTCCTCTACCTTTTCTAAACCCAGCTTGAACATCTGGCAACTCTCGCTCCATGTATTGCTGGAGTCTTCCTTGCAGGATCTTGAGCATTACCTTACTGGCATGAGAAATAAGTGCCACTGTACGGAAGTTTGAGCAGTCTTTCGCATTTCCCTTTTTTGGTATGGGGATATAAGTTGATTTTTTCCAGTCTGATGGCCATTCTTGTGTTTTCCATATTTGCTGGCAAATGGCATGCATCACCTTGACAGCATCATCTTTTAAGATTTTAAACAGTTCAGCTGGGATCCCGTCATCTCCTGCTGCCTTGTTGTTAGCAATTCTTCTTAAGGCCCATTCAACCTCACTCCTCAGGATGTCTGGTTCTAATTCATTCACCACACCGTCAAAACTATCCTCAATATTATTATCCTTCCTATACAGATCTTCTGTATAGTCTCGCCACCTTCTCTTGATCTCTTCAGCTTCTGTTAGGTCCCTGCCATCTTTGTTTCTTATCATACCAATTTTTGCCTGAAATTTACCTCCAATGTTTCTAATTTTCTGGAAGAGGTCTCTTGTCCTTCCTATTCTGTTGTCTTCTTCCACTTCCATGCATTGCTTATTTAAAAATAGTTCCTTACCTCTTCTGGCTAACCTCTGGAATTGCGCATTTAATTGGGCATATCTCCTCCTATCACTGTTTCCTTTTGCTTTCCTCCTTTCTTGGGCTACTTCCAGTGTCTCAGCAGACAACCATTTTGCCTTCTTGGTTTTCTTTTTCTTTGGGACGTACTTTGTTGCCGCCTCCTGAACAATGTCTCGGACTTCTGTCCATAGTTCTTCTGGGGCTCTGTTTACTAAATCTAGTCCTTCAAATCTGTTCTTCACTTCCACTGTATATTCGCTAGGAATGTTAGTGAGATCATATCTAACTTGTCTGTGTATTTTCCCTGATCTCTTTAGTTTTATTCTAAATTGAGCAATAAGAAGTTCGTGATCTGAGCTACAGTCAGCCCCAGGTCTTGTTTTCACCGACTGGATGGATGTCCGCCACCTTTGGCTGCAAAGGATGTAGTCAATCTGATTTCGGTGTTGACCATCTGGTGAGGTCCATGTATAAAGCCGTCTTTTAGGTTGTTGGAAGAGAGTATTCGTTATACACAGCGAGTTTTCCTGGCAAAAATTCTATCAGCCTGCGTCCCGCTTCATTTTGTTCTCCCAGACCATGCTTGCCTGTGATCCCCGTTGTCATTTGACTTCCCACCTTGGCATTCCAGTCTCCTGTAATGAAAATAATGTCTCTTTTTGGTGTATTATCCAGTAGGTCCTGCAGATCCTCATAGAACTGATCTACTTCTGCTTCTTCGGCAGCTGTGGTTGGGGCGTATATTTGGATCACTGTAATGTTGAAAGGCTTTCCTTGCACTCGAATTGAGATCATTCTGTCATTTTTTAGGTTGTATCCAAGCACCGCTTTAGCGAATTTCTTATTAATTATGAAGGCTACTCCATTTCTTCGATGTTCCTCTTGTCCGCAGTAGTAGATCTGGTGGTCATCTGATGTGAAGTGGCCCATTCCGGTCCATTTCAGTTCGCTGACCCCCAGAATGTCTATCTTTAGTCTTGACATCTCACCAATAACAACATCCAATTTGCCCTGGCTCATAGATCTTACATTCCAGGTTCCTATGGTGTGTTGATCTTTAGAGCATCGGATTCGTCGTTCACCTCCAGTACCGTCGGCCGCTAGCCTTCCTTTCGGCTTTGAGCTAGCTGCGTCATCACATCTTGGGGCTAGTTGAACTTATCCTCTGCTCCTCCCCAGTAGCATTTTGGCCATCTCCCGACCTGGGAGTCCCATCTTCCAATGGCATACCGACATATCTCTGGTTGTACTGGTCCATTTAGTTTTCTTGGCAAGGATACTGGAGTGGTTTGCCATTGCCTTCCCCAGGGATCACGCTTGGTCTGACCTCTCTGCCACAACCGTCCCGTCTTGGGTGTCCCTTCACGGTTTCGCTCATGACATCATTGAGGTGCTCAAGCTCCAGCGCCCCGACAAGGCGGTGATCCTTTGCTGGAGAGGTGAGTACATACTTATTTACAATTCAGTAATTTCATTTAAATTTACCTTTAGATGTTTACTATACACCACGGCAGACTTTTAGCTCCGATCACATCCGGGACCCACTTTTTAATCCAAATGTGGTGAGAGACAGGCAGCAGGCCATACTGAAAGGACTTTCCGAACTACGGCAGGTATGTATGAGTTGGATTCATGAGTTTGTATTTCCAAGTTGGTCTCATAATTAGAATTTCATAAAATATTTTATTTTTGTTTCCTCATTAGTTTTTTTTTCTCATCTTGTCCTTTAGCATCCAGTTCTTTTCTCGTTCTTTGTTTATATTTCCTGAAGGAGGGGGGAAAAGAATTCAATTTAACGGGATCTAGTATGTTAACTTTTGGATCTGTTAGTACTGCTTTTCTTTATACTTTTACCATTTTGGCTCTTGTCAGTCCTTGAAGATTATATTTGTAGTGGAGACTGATAAATAAAATACCTCTGTAATATGTTCTTCTTGTTTGCATAACTTGTCTTATTTTCTAATTTATCTCCTGAGACTTGAGAGACATTTTCATTTGTTGGAGGCCCATTCAGTTCTGGAAAGCATTCAGGGAGGCTTTTGCTAATGTCACAGTTAAGATCCACTCCACAAGCATTCACAGCAGGGCTTGGTGTGGTGGCACCCACTGTGTAGAATAGTCACCCCCCCCCCTAATATTAGGGGTAACTCTGGCTGACAATCTGCTTTGCAAGAGAAATGGAGAGATAGATGCTTTGTTAATTATTCTTGACCTCTTACCCTGTTGGCAGCTTTTGGTTGGTTTAACTTTAGTTTAACCTATCTTTGAGACCGCATCTCCTTCTATGAACCAGCACAGGCCCTAAGATCTGCTGGAGAGGCCCTCTGCTTGGTCCCACCTGCATCTCAAGTGCAGTTGATGGGGATGAGAGAGAAGACCTTCTCGGTGGGGGTCCCCTGGATTTGGAATGCTTTCCCTAGAGATCAGCCTAGCCCCCACTCTCCCAAGTTTTCCAGATACATCTGATAAAATGGCTTTTTAAACAAGCGTTTGACCATGATTAGTACCTTAATTATTAAACTTGGGGATCAAGTGATTGCTCCATGTTAGCACTTTATGGGACTGTATATTGTATACAGTATTTGCTGTGTTTTATCATTTTTTTTAAATCAGTAGGGGTTTTATATGTTGTTTTATGTAAATTGTTATGTAAATTTACCTTGTTATTGATTTATTTGCTATGTACCTCGCTGCATTGTGTGTGTCGTTGCACTATAGATTGTTTTTTGTGAGCCGCATTGAGTCCCTTCAGGGAGATGGTAGTGGGATACAAATAAAGTTTTATTTTTTTTTATTATTTATAGTGCTGTATCATGGCATTTTCTTGGCAAGATTTGTCCAAAGCAGGTTTGCCATTTCTTCCTTTGAGGATGAGAGAATGTGACTTGCCCAAGGTTTTAATGACTAACCCAGAATGGCAGTGCTCTTTTTAAATAAGGGCTTACTGCATTAAACCTTTCTGCAATGTTTTTAGTGGCAGACAACAAAAAAAAATGGCTACTGCAGTCTCTCTCATGAAGAGCTTGTTTAATAAAGCTTTGTTAAAATGTGTTGCCACTCTTCCCCCACAACCCTATAACCCCTTGAATAAACAGATCTTGTCTTTAGCTCTTCCTAAGTATTTTGCCTCTACACATTTTTAAAAGGAGAAGAAAAGGTTTGTTTGTTTCATTCCCCTATATTTTACTCTCAACTTATCTGTATGTCTTAGCAAAATTCATAATTTTGGCCCCAAACCTCAACTTATACATTTATTTATTTGGCCTCAACTTATACATGAGGTCAACTTATACATAAGTATATATAATAATAAACTTTCTCATAGCCTTTTAATATAAACGACTACAGTCACACTTTCTCACTAACTTTTCCATTTCTAGTCAGCTGTTATAATGAAACTTGTGATTTTAGTTATTGGTAATTGGTTGTTTTAACAACGTATTTTCATTGAAAATTAGTAGCAATCCAGAGATTTTGTGAAGATAAAATGAGAATAAATTAGATTAAAAAAACAAATCCTAATAATTTGCAGAATGAGGCATAGCATTCTGAGTTTTACCACATCGGACTTGCTGTAATTTCAAGGCCTTTAATATGCATAAAATTCAATGTAGTAAGCTAGCAGATCTGAGAATGAGTTTTATTAGCATAGCCGTCTTTGTCAGTAGAGGAAACTTCTTACAGGAAGACCAAGTTACAGAGAAGTTCAGAATTCTACAGCCTCATTCTGCATAATGTGTAGAGTGAGTCAATAATTCGTGGCTATATGGATGGATGGTGATGAACAACGATTTTATTGTGATGACTTGGCCACTGTAATTATATGATTGTATTTTTTGTTATTTTAATGTTTTAGTGTATTACGGAATGGGATGTTTTTAAATTATTGTTTGTGATATTGTTGTTGGAAACTGGCCTGAGTCCCTCTACGGAGGTGAGAAGACTTTTACAAAAATTCTAAATAAATAAATAAATGTCTTGGAGACAATGCACATGGTTAAGAGATATACAGTGTTCCCTCAGTTATCGTTGGTCTTCCGTTCCAGGACCACCCGCAATAAGTGAAAATCTGCAAAGTAGGGACACTCTGCTCACTTGATGGCGGCCTCCTTCTCCTCACAGCCTCCACTGCTCCCAGCCTCAGAGGCCCCTTGGGCGCCGTTGATGGCACTGCCCAGCTGACAGTGCTGTAAACGGAGCCCAAGGGGAGCAAAAGCCCATGAAACAGCAAGTCTGCAATAAGCAAACCGCAAAATAGCGAGGGAACATTGTATAGCACTGTATTTCACACACTCTTCAATCTTACCCACTTATTCTAATAACTGCACAAAGTTGTTCTGTAATAAATGAAATATATGAGAATAAATCACATTGGAACTTACTTTGGGGCTTGAATGCAGCACCAGTGAAGAATTAGGTGACTAGTATGTCTTCTGAGCCTGCTTCTGCTAACTGGTTTGCTGTAAAAGAGAGAGAATAAAAGTAAAATCAGATGGTGCACACAAAGGTCTATTTTTAAAATAGCATAGATGCACATTTTCTATTAACATTTCAATTGTAGTAGATCTTAGAGTATTACTTCTTATAAAGAATTAGTTACTTCACTCATGGTACTGATTACCCAACAAGTCCTTTACTGTTACTGCAGGCCACTAAAGAAGTTTAATTCATCATTACTAACAATTCACCGTTGATGTTGTGCCATTGGCATATAAACATCCTCTCCCATCACCCCATACAGTGTATTGCTTCCAATGAAGGGATGCAGAGAATCCAAGACAGATATTAGTGTTCATTGTTGTGCACCTTCAGGTCATTTCTGACTTCTGATGACCCTAAGCTGAACCTATCATGGGGCTTTCTTTGCAGTTTTGTTAATGTGGATTTCCTTTGCTTTCCTCTGGTGTTGAGAGTGTTGACGTGTCCAAGGTCACCTGGTACGTCTTCATGCCGAGCAGGGATTCAAGTCTTGGTCTTCAGAGTCATAGTCCAATGCTAAGACCAATACACCATGCTGGTTTCTCAGTGTTCATATAGATAGAAAAGCACTTCTTCAATTTATTATGTCCCAGAGCATTTAGAACTTTAAACATCATAATGGCTTTCTTGTACTCATACCAGAACCATATTGGCAACCAGTACAATTCTTCTCAAACCAGTGTGTATAGTTTCTGTATCCTGACAGCAATTTCCATGTTTCAGTAGTTGCTGTTTCCATGCTTCTTTTCCAAGGGCAAGTCTATATAAGTGGAGCGCGCCGCAATAGTATAAACAGGAAGTTAACAATGGACAAATTATTCTGACCAAGTTATTCCTGTTTAGGAAAGGCTGAAGCAGGCTCCAGGTATTTTAAATCCTGTGAATATAAAATCACTATCTCTTGATTTATTGTTCTTCAGTGATGTCATTTTTGAAGCTTTGCTGAAAACCTAATATTGATACTTGCTGATCTAAAGATCAAAAATGGAGGATGTAAACATTGTTTCCAAGAATATTATTTCCAAGGGAGATTTTGTTTCCCTAGAATTGTATAATTAGTCAATTCAGAAGACTGGTAGAAATTCGCATGTACATTTTTTCTGTCCATATAGTTACCAGTGATCTTTCTTCCCAAGTAACTTTAAGTGACAAGTAAGTGTAAATGAAAAGAAATATTTCCTATCTTCTTTAATCATGCTTCATCAAACTGCATTGTTCACATTTCTTAGATTTCATGGCTTATATAATATTTACCTTTTGGAGAGCAATTCCAATAGCTCCTAATATGTTGCAAATGTCTAGGGTATTCTAATCAGAAAAATCTTCTAGCCAGTTGCTTTTTCTGAAAGTGAGCATCTTGTTAGTAGTAGCTGATCAATTTTATATGATAAGTCTTGAATATCTCAATGTTTTTACATTGCCTTTGAGTTCCATAGTGTTCCAAATCATTTTCTCTTTGAAATCCTTCATCGCAGTGAGAAATTGTTCTACTGTCAGATTATCAGGATTCTGAAGTAATCCCCCAAATAAGAGTGTACAGGGTGAGGCAGCATAATTTCCTTTTTTTAAATGCACACCATTCAGTCAGTTGAAGACGTAGCGGAGCGCTAGTGGTCTCGTTCGAGAGGCAGGAGTATAAAGTTTTGTCCTGACACAGTTCAGTCGCCATCATGCGTTGGAACAGTGAGGAGCGTGCTTTTGCCGTTGAGGCCTACTTTTCGAGCGGATTTGGAGTGGCCAGCCTGCTCTCCAGATTTGGCCCCTTGTGATTTTTTTCTATGGGGTTTTTTGAAATCCCGTGTTTATGTGAACCGTCCAAGGACCCTACAAGATTTGAAGACCAACATCCAGGAAGAAATTGCTAACATAACACCTGCTATGCTGGCAAGAGTCATAACAAACGCCAGAAATCTGTTTACTCAGTGTATGGAGAATGGAGAATGGGGGACGTCACCTACCTAATTTGATCTTCAAAACTACGTAAAACAAAACTTTAGGTATGCACCTACATTATTATAAGTAAATAAATAAAATTTCTGATTTATACAATGGGTTTTATTAAGTTTTGAAAAAATGAAGTTATGCTGCCTCATCCTGTACTTCCTTC